GTCGGAGTTAATTCCTCCTTTAGTACGTTAGCCCTTTCACCAGGGGTCTCTCTTCGCTGCTATAAATAGCTGCTGACCCTTCGCCTCTATCTCTCTTTTTTCCTTCAGGCCTGTGCGCCGACACCTTGAGGTAAATCTCTCCTTTTCATCAGGCTTTCAGCTTACAACTTCGAAATGTAGGCGCTAACAAGGGATAGCGTGGAAACACGCTAAGCACAATACACACACACGCACATACTGAATATTCACACACGCACATACAGAATATTCCCATATACACTTCATCCTTTGTACTGTTTCCATGTATTGTAACTTGTTATTAATATATATTTGTATATACATATATTATCGGTCTTGTGTTTTGTTTGCTTTCTTTGCCTTCTTCTTTGGACTTAATCAAAGTCCAACCTTTTTATGTAGTTGGGCCCGGCGGGCAGGAGTATCTGAACCTTACTTGCGTTACTTCTACGTCTGACTTCTATCAACAACATAACAACCACGGCCCTCTACACTACTTAGTCCATAGCTGGGGGAAGAGGACATAGATTCATACTTTTTCCCAGGGCATTTGCACGTAAGTGGATCGTGCAAACTTGACTGGAATTCGAACTCGACTTTCCGATTTCTCATCCCGAACCGCTATCCCAAATTTGTATGAAATTAAAAACTGCTGCCTAAATGCACTCAGTATAATACAGAAGAAATTTATTCAAGTTCGGACATAAAAGAAATTTTAAACTTCAATAAGTGTTGCTTGGCATAAAGATCTACTACACAACTGGTGTTGGTTTCAATAGGCCCAGATCTGGATAACAGATAAACATCATATGAACGGTTTTAATAAGATATATAATAAGGACAATTCTTTCTCTTCAAAATAAAGTAACTTCTGAAGTTTCATGTTCGATCTACAACACAACAGGTTTACACCAGAGGAAAAAAAAGGCAGGCGCAAATTTAGTCACCACGAGAGACGAAATAATAGACACATGTTCAGTTTACACTTGCTTGAATCAAAAAGATTGTCACATGTCTGGTTCACACGAAAGATTCAATTTGCTTAAGATTCAAAAAGGTAGACATGTATCTGGTAAACCCAATAGTCAAAAAGCTAGACATAGTTTACACTTGAGACAAAAAAAAAAAGTAGACACAGGTCCGGTTTGTACGTGAGTCAAAAAGGGGGACACAGGCCCGGCTTACACGAGAATCAAAAAGGGAGACAGTTCTAGTATACACAAGAATCAAAAAGGGATACACAGGCACGGCTTACACGAGAATCAAAAAGGGAGACACGGGTCCGGTTTACACGAGAAACAAAAAGAGAGACACAGTTCCGGTATGCACGAGAATCAAAAAGGGAGACACAGTTCCGGTATACACGAGAATCGAAAAGGGAGACACATGCCCGGCTTCAAAGAGACAGCCGTAGATCCGGTTTATGCTACAGTCTGCAAATATCCATTCGGAAGGTGGTGGTCGGTTGGCAAAAAAGGTTGTCTCCCTCTACATAGAAGTAGAAAACCACATTCTAGCTATCGAAGTCTCTGTCACACAGAGGGGCCAGCCTAGAGGAAAGATGCGCACACAAGGACCTGGGACCTGTCCCTAGGCCAATGGTCCAGCTCAAGATGACGGGAATCATAGACTTGTTCTGATGAAACGGATATCTGTTATCTGTGTCAACAAGGGACCATCTGGTTAGTCATGCTACACATTCTATGTAGAGGAGGACATATGTCTGTATTAGCTTTTCTAATAATAATAAATGTTGTTATAATTGCGTCTAAACCTTTTTTCCTTAACCTATACACACCCAACAGTAGTTTTTATGGGGTTCTTACTCCCTTGCGGAGAATATAATCGGCATATTCTAGGTCTCACCGACAGGGCAAAAATATTTTCTAACAATATCAAATAAAGTTATGCTACCTTACTCCCAGTATTATGTGAGTTGCTTGTGCGTTTTTCACAAGAAGATAACTACCCAAAATACACACCCAGCCTCCACTGAAAACAATAGTATTAAGATGGAGGTCGGTCCAATAGTCTAGTCTTAACGCCATCAGAAATATACTTAGTAAAGAAACAGCCCAAAATCAATAATTTAAATATCTGAGAAGTGTTTTAACAGAGGACGGAAAGTGCAACACCAAAATCCGAGGGCGCGTTTAGATAGCGAAAGATGCCTTCCTAAAGCTGAGCAAAGTATTCCGAAAGAGGAAAATTTTGTTAAAAACAAAAACAAAGAAAAAAAAAAAAAAAAAAAAAAGAAGAGTACTGAACCGTTATATATTATCAGTCCTCCTACAGGGTAGTGAATGCTGAACAATCTCCTCACGGATGAAGAAGAGACTTGAAGCAACAGAAATGTGGTCCTACAGAAGGATACTGAGAATGTCATTGACGGAACATGTGAGCAACGACGATGTTTTAGAGAAAATGGAATAGAAAAGGCACTTCTACTTAACATCAGGAAAAGGCATTTGAAACTTCTAGAGCACATAATAAGGAAAGAGGGTTTAGAAAATTCGACACTCACAGGACATTGAAGACAACAGGGACAGAGGAAAACAGTATAATCTACCTAACGAGCTTGTGTAAATGGTTGGCAGAACAGGGTTGAGGGGAAATAGGAAAAAGACAGGAAATCGTGGAGGGCCATGATCGCATGTCGCATAAGAAGAAGAACAGGGTAAAACTTGTATCCGACACACAAAGTCCACGAAAGTGACGTACTCCGGAGTGAACGATAAACTCCTATCGGGAGCATTTGTGGCGGAGGTGACAGTCATTTAATCCTGACTCCAGATAGGTGAGAAAAGTTCCAATTCCAGTTGGGTTCGTTATATTCATTTACGCGCAAATACTCTTGGGAAAGGTATTGATCCACCTCTTCTTTGAGCCCCAGCTATGGGTTAATTAGTAAGATTTCTATCACTAAAACCATTATTATCTAAAAAAAAAAAAAATGAAATGAAAATATTTTTGAAATCTAAAAATATTTACTGGCTTTAAATAACCTGTAATGGGTTGATAAACAGTAAAAAACGAACCAATCAGTCAATAGCTCCAGATAAATTGTCTTCCACGAGCAAAAATATAGTCTTGTGACGACTGAATGCAACCAAAAGTTTAAATTAAAATTAAACAATGCGCGAAATAAATAAATAAAAAGAAAAAAAAATGAGAAAAAAAAAGTTGTTGTACTCAGATGGGTGACCGCTTGGAAATATCCGGTGCTGTAAGCTAGGTTGTACGGGTGGCATAACGGTTTGTTGTTAATCGGGGAGTCGGGTTCCAATTTCAGTTGGGTTTGTTAGATTCACTTATGCGCAAATACCCTTGGGAAAGGTATGAATCCATCTGTTCTCCCCACCCAACTATGGGTTAATTAGTAAGACTTGCATCACTAAACCATTGTTATCTCCCCCACCCAATTTTTTACATTCTAAAAATATTTTCTGGCTTTAAATAACCTGCAAAGGGTTGATAAGCCATAATAAATTAATGAATCAATCAATCAATGGAATACTGATTAACTACACAGATGTCTTTTTTATTTACATTCCCTGGAATAAATAAAAACAGAGCATCTACGCAAGTATGGCTATCCATTAAAAATAATGTTTAAGCAATAAATTAAAATATATCGAATTAATAAATGAAAGAATGTATTCCTAAAAATATAGAAATGACCGTAGCCATAAAGTGAGGGATCAGTTTTTATATTGATTGTAATAAATTGATACCATATCCATATTATAGTTTCTTGCTTATCAAATTCTGGTTAGGTATGAACCCACCTTTTCTCCCGCCAGCTATGGGTTAATTAGTAAGACTTGTATCACTAAACCATTATCTCTCCACCCCACCCAATTTCTTACAACCTAAAAAAAAATATTTTCTGGCTTTAAATAACTTGCAGTGGGTTGATAAGCCATAGAAAATGAATAAATCAATCTCTAGTTGTAGAGGTATATCTGAAAATTTCAGTTGTTCTACGTTGTATTATGATCTCTTCTTTAATTGTCTCCTTTTACTTTTGTTTATTTAATTACGAAGTACTCACCAACGCTGGGTCATTTTTGGTGATTTTGGGGGCCCCGGGCAGGTTTGGGCACGTTTCGGTCCGGCACCATTCCAATTTTCAAAAAATTTCATAGAGTTGGCCCATTTCCTTCTATTTGGATACAAATGAGTGGAATAAAAACACTTCCCCACTTAAAAAAAAAAAAAAAAAAATTGTTCTCAATAGACCACCCCTAATAGATTTTTTTTACTGAGTTGGCGTTTGTTTTCAAGTGTAACATTGGCCTGCAATGGGTTAAATGTTGGTCCAAAAATCACGCTTCCGCTAGAAATAATTGCTGCGAATTTGAAGAATGATGTTTTAAAGTTAACGTTTTGGGGTTGTTTTTCAAATACTGTTTCTTTGAAATCTTAAACCTGGAGATTTAAGGTCTTTAACTAAAATTCTAATTTTAAGATTAAATTTTTTTTTTTTTTTTTAGGTTGATGACAGGTTTACGTTGTATAAAAGGTGAAGTGATTAGTTAATAAACGTACAACACATTTACTTTTAACTTTAATGGACATAATTATCTTTTGTTGTTAAATGTTGGCGGTAAAGTCTATGAACTAAAAATTCAAATCAGCCAAAAAAAGTTTTATGTTTTCGATTCATTATAAAAAAAAAAAAATAAATAAATAAAATTGTCGCAACAAAATTTCGCTTTCCTTCTTTTATTTAGTCTCGTGCACTACAATAACATTCAGTTTTGCTTTTAGAATAAGAAATTTAAAAAAATACTTGAATGATAAATTTATTATTTGTCTTTTTTCTTAAAAGTTTTCGGCTATCTAATAAAATTATTTTTCATATCTATTTTTTTTTCCAGAAAGAATATAGGAAGTTTTTTTTAAGCAAACGGAAAGAATTACTTCCCTTTGTTACAACTGAATTATCTCCCTTGGATTTAGCTCGCGTGTTAGTATCAATGATGGAAGCACGTGGTTTGCAAGGAAATGTTGACCTGGAGGAAGCACTTAGCCATTATGACAAAGTTCTAGAAGCTAAGGCTTCCACTCTGAAGAAAGTGGATAAAAAGACCCTAATCGACCTCGACAACTGGTATTTTCTCGTATCATTATTTTTTAAATAACTAAATTTAAAACGAACTAATAATAGTAACAATGAATGTAACATTTTTAATTTTAAACAATATATTAGTTTTTTTTTCTTTCCATTATTCGGCGAAATTATTTTTTATTTTAAAAAATAAAAAACACGAAACAAGAAAAAAAATTGTGGTTTATGTAATTCTAAAAGTGTTTTAATTTTGTTAACATGGAAAAGGTATTTTTTTAAATACCTTAAGCCATTATCGACTGTTGAAGCAACCTGAGCGTTTAAACTTCCCTTTTTTGTTTTCGTTTCGTCAAGAACTGCTTTGTAAACAATAGTCGCATTATGTTAAAAAAAAAAAGAAAAAGGGATCCCAATTTTCTTTCATTTTTAACTCTAATAAAAATTATTCTCCTGCATAAAAACAAACTTATCAATTAATTTGACTTTCACTCAGTGATACGCCTCAAGACCTAATTAAAAACAAACATTAGCAACTTTTGTCAAATAACTAACTCTTTGTTTTGTATTTCCACTGCCAGGATTGCTGTTAGATATTGGGCATTTTTGAATTTACTATTTTTTTTAATGCCCTTTACATTTTTTTTTAGGTCGTAAAAGTTTTTTTATTTATTTTACATACCAGTAGGCATATAAAGACTATTTTGTATCAAGTTCATCAAAGAACGAAACGTGTCGACATTAAAAGATTTTTTAAGCCACCTTACCTTTCAAATAAAAAAAACCCAAAAATCTTCTTACTTAACATTTAAGAAAATGGGTTTTCGATTTCTTTAGTAAGTCTGGTATCTATGAAATACATTTTCTTAGATGACTAAGACATTGAACTAAAAATACAGTATTTAAAAAAAATTTTTTTTTACAAAGTATTTTGAAAATTCTTTTGCGACGAATTTTAATTTCGCACAAAACAAGTTTTAATCTTTAAAAAATGGGAAGATCGTTGTCTCTTGTTTAAACTTATAAAAATACTAATTTTATTTCAAGGGATCTGTTTTTCCTAAAAAAAAACTTGAAAAAGTGTTCAGGGCTCTTTTAGAGAGTAAACAAGATGCCCGTGTTTAAAATTAATAAAGTTGGTGCAAGACATAAATTTTTAATTTATTTGGTAATACAGTTACATACCGCAAGAAAATGTAAATCTATTCTGTCAGTTTTAGGACCACAAGAAGTCTGTGTTGGTTCAGGCTTTGAAGCGCAAAATACCTTAATGTCCTGTTGGAATTTAATTTGCGAACTGTTTTTTTTTTACAAGTTCACATTCTCGCTATTTTTCTATCCTCACTGCAACCTCTTACTTTCAAAACCGGCTCCCAAAGCCTTGATTCTTATCAGAGATAAGAATATATTTTCTGACTAACGAGAGAGCTGGAAAATATAAAAAGGAATTCCACCATTATTCTTTCCATGGTGCCATAAAGTCTGGGGGGAAACATCACAGCTTGTTCACTCCAATCCAACCTGTTTTCTTATCAGAGATAAGAATATATTTTCTGACCAATGAAGGGGCCAGGATATTTGTTCAACAATTTTGGAGGGAAAAGTCTCCGATTCTTCTGAGCCTACCAAATCTCCATAAATTTGGGGAATCTTTGCCTATTTGGCAGTGAGAATTCGACCTACGAACTCTCTCAACTGCAAGATTCCTATATCTACCAACAGTTTTCCTACTCTACAAGAACTGTTCCTAAACCTTAACAAAATTCTACTCGCTTAAAGAACTTTTTAGGTGCCCAGAGAAATATTTTGATTTTTGTGCAAGCCTTTTTTCTGTTATGGACATTTTCTCTTTTCCCGTTCTTTCACTCTAATTGTCTTTATCTTTTTTTTTCTGTAAATGTAAAAAATAAACACTTCTTTTATTGTTACGCACCAAGCAGGAGTTTTTTCTTTATTCGTCCGCGCCTAAAAGAGAGTTTGTCCTCTCTAATCTTGCTGGTTTTTTTTTTTTACTCTCGTTTTGTCCCAATTTTTTAACCTCAACCCATTTTTTTTATAACCTAAACCCTTTAAATGCGGGAAATCCGGGACAAACTTTCCCTGCAGTCCTTTACGAAAGATGTTTCCACTGACGCCTCGGTAAAAACTAAAGTCAAAACAAAACCAAATACCGTAAAAACTTTAGTTCGGTATCAAGTCGGAAAAAAAGCTACTTGAAAAAATTATTTAACTGATATATATTAAAAAAAAAAAAAGAAAAAGTTTATTAAAAAGAATTTTAAAACTTTATATTTTCCGAGTGAGTAAGCAGGGATTATCTAATTATCTTTTGTTTAATTAATTTTTTATAACGTATATATAAAAAAAAAATGACGACAGTTTGAAACCCGGACTTTCTTTTCAAACTAATTAATAACTAGTGTCAGGCTCCACACTCTTCTCTTCCCTTTTTGTGTTTGTTGTTAGTCTCTATCTTCCTCTTAATTTTTTTTTTTTTTAATTACGTATTTTTAAATTTTAGGGGCTCTATAATTTTACGTTATCGTTTTTTTTTTTTTTTTTTATACTATGCATCAATATTATGGCCAGAATCCCACTTTTTTTCTTTTTTTTTTTTTTAATCGATAGGACAAAAATCAATTTTTTTTTTCTTCCGATTCTGCTAACTAAGTGTCACAGCCTAAAGAATGCCTAAAAAAAAGCTAATCTACAAATTTTAAGTTAATTAAAAAAAATTACAGTATAAGCACCAAAAACCCACGGTTATGAAAAGGTTCCATTATGGGGCGAAATTGCCTGATTATTTCGAAAATGACATTAAAACTTTGCGCTCTATTACCGTTTTTACGTTTTCCATATAACTCATCGTAAACTTTACGACGAGTTGTGGACAATGTAAGAAGTTTGACATTTTTTTTTTTTTTTTTTTTTTCGAAATTACAAATTATTTCCTAAAATAAATTTTCCCTGTTTTTTATTTGTGTGAACAACTACTGTACAGTAAGTAGTACCCTTGAATTGTTAATTTAAGTCATATATTAAAGTTCGTCGTAAAAAAACAAAAAACAAACTTAGGTAAAAAAATTATACCGTATATTTAATTTTATTTTTAAGAATACTACAGGTTTTCTGTAAAATTTTTCTGTTTTTCAGTTTCTTAAAGTGATTTATTTTTCGTAGGTACCGGACTAACAAACCGAAAAAAAACAATAAGATATCTTTGAACTGTTTTTCGGGTTTTATTTGAAAGAATAGCTAAAAAAAAAGTAAGTAGGTACCTCTGCTGACTTGCTAAAAAATTAGCATACCATGATGATGAAGAAATAAAAATAAAAATGCCCCAAGGGACCAAGCTTAATAAAAAAAAACAAACAAAAAAAAACAGTTTTATCATCAAAATCTTTACTGAAGAAGACCAGAGGATATTTTTTTTTTAATTTTTTTCATCGTTTTTAGAACGTTCGAAATTTTGGTTAATTTTTTTTTTTTTTTTTTTTTTTTTTTTTTTGCCTTTGGCCGAAAATTCGTACAGTGAAATCCCGAATTAACGGTCCTGGAACCAACGGATTCCGGATTTAACGGACAAAATCCGCAAAAATGGTAGTCGTCAGTCTGGAACTTAAAAACGCCCGTGCGTAGCGAACAAAGTCCGTTAGTTTCAGAATTGGCCGCTGTTGTTTTCCGGCGCAATCAACAGACAAAGGCTGGGTAGTTCCGGCAATGGCCGTCGTTGTTTATATGATGAGCGCTTTAAACTTTATAAAACTTTTAAAACGTAACATTCACTACACTTTCTCTCTCAATCTGTGTGTGTGTAATTTATTTTAAGTTTAAAAGTAAAATACACATCACTGGATTTTCATTTATTTACAATAATCTTGTACTGTACGGGGACTGGGTGTTTTTAGGCCACGAAAGAATGTGTCTCAAATTAACGTACCAATCCCCACCCCCCATTAGTCCGTTAAATTGAGGTTCCTCTAACCACTGTTTATATGAAATTTTTGCTTTTGGTTTGTGTAATTTTTTTTTTTTTTTGTCTTTGCTTTCCTTTTTTGCCATGAAAAACAAATTGATTTTGGAAATTCTTGCAAAAGTCAAACAATTGTTGGATTTTAAATCAAAGTTTCAGGACTTATTCACAAATAAATGAAATTATTTTAGAATTTTTTTGTTTTTCTAGAAACCGTTACTCTCCATTTATGAAATTTTCAGAAATAAAATTTTGGGTAAATTTTGGTTTTGTTTCCCAAGCGCTAGTATCCCTTAAAATTTTTCCAAAATCATAATTCCGTGCAAATGTACATGCTGAACTCGAATTAACAATTAAATTATGAAGAAACCTTACTGTTTTGGAGTTATCGACAAGAAAAAAAATCGGATTTTTTGTTGGTCATTTGTCCCCCATTACTGCCATCATGATTACTAATTCACTGCGTAGTACCTATGCAGGCATAATCAGAAAATTTGGCCTATTTAATTCTTTTACAGACTTTCCTTACAGAAAATTTAAATGTAAATTTTTTTTTTTTTTTTTTTTTTTTTTTTTTTTTTTGGTAAGTGTAGTTTTATTTATAACAAAAACAAATTAAATAATACTACAGAACCTTTTTTCCATTTTGAATAGCAAAATTTAATTCAATTTTATATATTTTATTTAATTTTTATATATTTTATATATTTAATTTTTTAAATTTTTTTATTTAGTTTTTTTTTTTTATATTTTATTTAATTTTTACATTAATTATATTTCAATTTTAAAATATAAAAAATGCTTTATTGTATTATTTAATTTGTTCTTTCAATTTGTCATTGCTATTCTACACAGAAAAAAGGTTTTATTGTATTAAATGTTTTTGTTTGAAGTTTTCTGATATAAATAAAATTACTTACCAAAAAAAAAAAATTGCTTTACAATAATGCATAGTGATTTCAAAAAGAGAGAGCTGTAAAAGAAATAAGCCAAAATTTATGCTTATGCCACCGGAAGTATGCTGCATTGAATTAGTGAACATTATGGCAATAAGGGCGGATGAATGACCAAG